TAGCTTAGTAGCTAGCTTTAGAGTTTAGGCTATGAAATTCAATCTAACTAGAACTTAAGTTTCAAGTTTCAACCGCCTGATGTAAATAACCGTATAAAGTATAAAGTATAAACTATAAAGTATAAACTAATATTAAAAACAAAAACAAAGAACTGATAGCTACGGCAAAAGACTATAACACTTTAAAAAAAATCCCTCTTAGCCTTAACCGTTTTTCATTTTTCAATGCTTCAAAAATCAAAACACAACATAGTACAAATTTATACAGTAGCATATACTTCTATTTTCAGTCTTTCACAATAAAACTATTTAAAATTTAAATGTCATAACAACAATATAACGTAGTATTTAGCTTTTACCATGGATGCAATCCATGCTTTTACCCACCTGATTTGATTTAACTGTTAGTATTAAGAAGATTGTAGAAGTTTAGAAACAGTAACGTAAAAGCAGCAGAATTTTCTCGAAACGTTGTGCTGTTTTTGAATAGCCGAGGCCCGAGGGGAGATTGGGTGGCATAATGGCATTCGTTATTCGCGATTTCGCGAGCGAGCAAAACGTTACTTTGACTTTGTAGTTTGTAGTTTGTATGGACTATATGGATTATGGAATTACTTTTATGCTCAAAGCCATTGTGAATTCTGATGCCATTTGTAACGTAAAAAGTGGAATACAGCTGCAGAATATAGAACTTTCTCAATTTGTAAAAATATTCGAATAATTCGACGTGATACAAGAAAAATCAAATCCGAACCGATCCGACAAAAAACCTGCAAAATCCGATCCGATCCGACAGAAACAAAACGAAATCCGATCCGATCCGATCCGAGTAATTTACTGTCCGAATCCGATCCGAATCCGATCGGATTCGGATCGGATTCGGATCGGATTCGCACACCTCTAGTGGGGGCTAAACAAACTCTGGAGATCTGGGGGCCCGGACTATGTATACTCTTTGAAATAGCATTCAGTGGGTTCTGAGAAAGATTTGACATGCAGAAACCTCAATATGTTCCTCGATCCTACAACAACTGCTTGAAGTACAATGGGAAATTGTGAATATTTAATGTCTAATAGAACCTTGAGGGCTTTACCCCCCCCCTCCCCCCCGGTCTGCCAGTTGTGATTGATGTGGCAGGATCTAAGTGATTGCCACTTCATTTGTAACTCAAGTTGTCTGGAAGATGCCAAAAGATTTTGAGGGGGATTTTCTATGGAACATATCCTCAGAGTACCTATTACTATGCATAGACTATGTCAATTAAGTACTATATGTGCTCCTCATTCACCCCCTTGACTCAGCAGCCCCTGGTTGATGGTCATGGATTATTTTGCTTTTGCAATAGGTTTTTCTGATAATAGAGAATTAATGGACAACTTGCATATGTTAGGCTAAATTTTAATCTAAGTATTAAGAGAATGGAATCAAACACCACAGCTAAAAAGAACATCATGAAATTAGTAAAATTGCAAAATTTGGTTTCGAAATGTTGTAAAGCTTGGTAAATATAGCCTTGCAAAATTTGCAAATTTTGTACTGTATACATTTGTATTACTTGCGGAAATTGTTACCATTTTCGGCTCGAAAATGGTAACAATTTCCACACGTACTACAAACATATACAAAATATGCAAACTTTGCAAGGCTATAGTTTCTGTATTTTACAACATTTCGTAACAAAAGTTTGCAATTTTACTCATGTTAATAAGTTCTTAACGGGAATTTGCTCTTTTTGCTTTGATAAAAAATTAGTTTAAAGCCCTGTTTAAACGGATCCAACATTGTTGGTCCAACATCATCCAACAGTTTTGAAATAATGGCTCAAACGGCTCCTTTTCAAATATTTTTATCAAGACTAGGTTTAGAGTTTGAGTAAAGCTTATCTAACCAAAAAGATTTGAAAGAAAAGCAGTCATATCTAGTATAGTAACATTGTTGGATGATGTTGATCCAACAATGTTGGATCCGTTTAAACAGGCCTTAACATGCAAGTTGTCTATTTAATAGCAACGACTTTTAAATTGCCCCTGCTTCCGTTAAAAAGCCAAATAATGAGCCAATCCCATATTAATTAATAAAAAATTTGATCTAACAAGTCTAGACAAAATTACACCACAGCATGAAAGAGGTTGAAAGAGCATCACAGAATTAGTAATATTCCAAAGTTTCGTTGCGAAATGTTGTAAAATGCGGATAATATAGCCTTGCGAAATTTTCAATTTTACTAGCCTAAACAAAAATTTCATCACAGCTTGAAAAAGCATCACAAAATTAGTGATATTCCAAAGTTTCGTTGCGAAATGTTGTAAAATGCGAAATTTGCAATTAATTTTCAGTCATTTCCGAAGTGGTAACCATTTCCCGTTTGTAGGTACACAAAATGACTGAAATTAACATCTAACGCACTCGAGCTTAAGCAAGCAATTCTTTGGAGGGTGTAGCTCTGTTGGAGAGGTTCCGGCTGCTTAGTTTACTCGGCAAGCCGGCTTACGATGAACTCCATTCTGCGCAGCTGTCTTCTCGGTAGAAGAGACTTTCAGCCATCCCAGCATCCCGACTTGACTAATATCAATGATGCCGAGAATTAGCCTCTCCAAGGACAGAGCTAACGTCACACCACAGGTGGAAATGGAATGAATAAATAAAATAGTAACATGAACGTACGAGATATCTTACCTGGTAAGCATACGAAGCCGAGCACAACTAACTATATGCACCTACCGACCAAAGGGAAACCAAAAAAACGCTGGATAACGCAGGATACCAATTTAAAAGAAATCACCCGGACTAGCCGGAGAGCAAGCCCGACGAGCGGGTGCGGCATAATGCAAATAACGAACACAACACGGACATTGCTAGCAAGGATGACAAAAAGGACTACCCCCACCATGTACACTGTGCCAAGGACACACACAACAGAGAATAAGCACTTCACGGACAGACAAAAAGACTAATGGCGAGGGGACAAACGCACGTACAAGCAGACGAACAAATCACGAAAATTAAATATGCTGATGCACAGATACACACCTGGGCAAGCAGCCGAACACCCGGCAAGCAGCCGCCTTGGATATGCTCTTTCAAGCTGTGATGAAAATTTTGTCTAGACTTGTTGAGATCATAATTTTGGTTAATGTTTATGTGGGATTGGTCCATTCCCTCCCGTTTTAACTGAACAAGATATAAGGCAGTTGCAGACTGAGAAAGATACAACTACCTGAAAATATAAGCATAACTTTGACGTTTCGAGCGAATTAAGGCCCTTTGGCACAGACTGTTTGAGAATATTTGAACAGGATATATTATATAGTTTATACTTCATTCTAATGAACGGACACAAAAACAATATAGCTTGTTCCATTATTTTAGGGAAGAATATTTCATCCTCGGACTAATGCTAAAGAGGGACCAGAATTCTATTTCAATGCCGCAGACAATCTTGCAAAACTGCACAAATACAATCCAAGAGATTTGGGTTTGACTAAATATATTTCCCACAAAGGCAGCCATGCAAAACGACAGGTATGTAGTATACTCGTATTTCTACGAGGTTCAGTATTGCCATTGATACCTATGAAGTTCCTGTAGGGTCTTGGTAGTACTGGTAGCAAGTTCCTGGTTGCAGTGAACGAACAAACTTTAAAGATCCTATGAAGTTCCTGTAGGATCCTGCCATAATCCTATATATAGGAACCTGGAATGTTTGTGCTAGCAAGATCCTCCGAAGTTTCTGTAGGATCCTGTCGTAATCCTATAGGAACATGGAATGTTTCTGACAGCAAGATCCTCTCAAGTTCCTGTAGGATCCTGTCGTAATCCTATAGGAACATGGAATGTTTCTGCTAGCAAGATCCTCTGAAGTTCCTATAGGATCCTGTCCTAATCCTATAGGAGCATGGAATGTTTCCAGCTGCAAGATGCTATCTGAAGTTCCTGTAGGATCCTGAGTGTTTGTTAGAAGTGTAGGATCTTAATTCCTGTTAGATGAAAAGCAACTAGCTTATGTCAATCATATACTAGCTACTAGGTGTATGGGAAAAATCATAAACCTAGGTTGAACATCTGCTTTATCTTACTCAGGTTCTTATTTGGTCAAAACAATACAAAGACAGCACAGACAATTTTCTTCCTGAAGCAGAAATTTTGATCAAAACTTTATGGGATATGTTGCCCTCTGACTGCAAACAAGAATGTAAGAACGAAGTGGTGGATTTATACTAGCTGTTATTCAAAGATTCCGGATATGCACTCAGAGTTAGATTGATTACAAAATTGATAAATGCTTAATTGTTTTAATTTAGGTATTGTGCATGGCGACTACAGACTGGATAACATGATATTTCATCCTGTGACGGTGAGTTTGACATGTTTCTTTAATTAATATGGACTTTAAGATTGATGTTTACGGCAAACGCAAACTTCAAATCGCATTTGAAAGTAAGGCCTAGCTACAGTTTCGACAGCTAAAAGTTGCCAATTCATACTTCAATTTTAGTGCGCAAGTTGCCCTAACTTCGAACAGCTAACAGTTGACTTCAAATTGCGGTTTTAAGTTGCCGTTTGCCGTAAACGTCAACCCAAAAGTCCCTAATGTGGAAATTTTCGGTTTTGTGTATCTGGCATATGTTATATTCGATATAAAGTACAATCATGGTATGATGTAGAGAAATTGTAGTTATTCTTTAGTCTACCAAGTTTAAAAATTCTGTTACTAAAAGTTGTGCACTAATTAACTATTTGTCTTTTGTCTTACAATAAGCCTGTTGTGATTGCCGTTCTTGACTGGGAATTAGCAAGTATTGGTGATCCAATGATGGACCTAGCTTATACTTGTATGATATATCACTACCCTCAAGAAATCAAAGTGATCTTTCCAAATCATAACAACGGTATGTATATAGATTTAGACTTTTTTCCGATGTTATCCACTCAAGTGAAGTTATATGTTTGTGATGTTGTCTCCGAGTGTGTCCACACCGGGCAAGCTGAAAAGTTTGATTGACCGGGGTGGGAATCGAACCCGCGACCTTTGGATTGCTAGTCCAATGCTCTACCAACTGAGCTGCGAGGTCAAGTCGGTTCGAGTGGGTCCTTGACATTTCGGAACTCAGTCTAGTTCCTTCGCTATCAGTCTTTTGAGGATCTTGAATTTTTTGTTTCTGGTGTTCACATGCACTCAGGTGAAGATATACGTTTGTGATATGTAGACATAAACTGAAAAGGTTTTGCTAACAAGTAATATTAAAAACAATGCTTCAATGGCGTATGTGAGTGCACATGCAGGTGTTATCGAAGCGTGTAAACTTCCACGTGTATTATTAACAAGTGAGTTTTTAAAAGACGTCAAATTGCATTCGTCCTTCGGACTCGTGCAATTTTGATCGTCTTTGAAAACCTCACTCATGCAAGTTTTTCCCAAATTGCACTGGAAACCATACTATTACCTATACGAACACCATTCAAATTTTTAAAGTTTGGATTAAAAAAAATGAAAGGACTTACAGAATTATTAAATGTACACGAAAGCACACTTGGTTACATCCTTTTAGGGCGCTATTTCTTGCGGTTGAGTTTAACTCTTGTCTACTAGATTTTAAAGTGTGTTTCGGCCGCTACCCTAGAGTGATCTGATGTTGGACAGAACCCGTGTGAGTAAAGTTAGATAATCATATAGTTAGACAAAAGTTAGACATAATTTGAATGTAAGATACTCAAAGGTACGGATCTGATCATACATATGGCTGTTGAATGAAGGACACTCACAAATGTTCCCAAATGTTGTACAATACACCAAATATAATACTCGAGTTGAAATATTACATTAAATATGAAATATCACATTTTCATAAATAATTTATTGTTAACAATGTTATTTTCATGGTGCTAATTGTATCTGATGCAAATGTGATGGTGATTTTATCGGATGCAAATGACGAATTTTATAGGATTTGTGCGTGAACATATCGATCAATTCTTGGTGTTGGCCAATCAAATTCTATGCTCAGAAATTGAACAGCGTTTAGGAAAAGCTCTTTACATTTAGTCAAACCCGCATTTAGACTATGGATTGACATAAAGATTTTTGCTATAGAAGCGGATATCTGCAATTTCAAGTGCCTTTTGTAAGATCTTAAGATATTCACAAGCTTCGTATTCCTTCAGAAGGTTTTTGTGTAGAAAATATAATGGCCATTGTTTATTGATATTGTTACCTTGGGAGGCATCCCTCCATCCCAATCTTTTTAAAATAAACTGGCTGAGTTGAAGATTTCTTCGTCGCCATGTAAACCTCCATTGAAGTTCATTCTGTATACGAGGACAATGGTATGTGCGGAAATTATATTCTTTAAATTCACGCATGCATAGTGACCAGTAGTAATCGTGACGAACTCGTATTTTACCACATTCAGACACATCGGGCGCTTCAGAATTTTCTGAAGATACTGCTTCTTCAAATTTCGGAAAGTTATCATAATAACCAGGACAATCGCTTATACGTACATCCTTACTTTCTTCGTAAGGTAGTAGTTCTTCTTCTGTGATGTCAAGTGGTGGATGATACAAGTAATTGGATACCATAATATAGTCGATTTCACGATCTGGATATTGAGCAGCAGGTACACTGTCATAAGCAAATTCTTTATCGATATTGTTTTGATCTGCTTTCTGTGCATTTCGTATTTCGTCTTTTGAACTGTACCAGACACCAGCCTCTTTAAACATTACTGGGTGAATATCAGCAATTTCCCCCCAAAATGTATCAATTACTCCTTCGTTTCTGACACTGTCATAAAAGTGAGCCAAATACACCGGATCTAACCGGTGTTTATTCAAGCAATTTATTGGCAAACTTGGAAATATCTCTGATGCTTTTTTGTGGACATATCTCAACACTTTCATCCCTTTCACTGCTGCGATATGAAGTGGAGAGAGTCCTTCCAAGATTGGGCCACATGGAAACTGTGATCTGTATTCTGGCATTGTGCTAAAAAACGTTTGCAGTAATTCTTCAAACACCTGACTTCGATAGTTCGACGTTGTCACAGGAACTTCCCAATTGAATCCATACCAATTTTGATACTTTAACGGTGCAGTAAATTCTCCATAGTTGATATCTCCCAAGTACAACGTAGAAATATCAAGAGCAGTTAGACCACCTCGTGTTTTTAGCCTCATGTTAACTCCGATACTTTTAAACCATTTTATAGCAGCAAGATTTCCACCTTGAACAGCCCTATGTATCGGTAAATATCCTTCGGCATCATAACATTCATTCAGTATGCGAACACCTCTAGGATGACGGTCAATCAATCTTTGTACAGGGAAACGTTTGTTATTTAAAGATGGTTGGAAGAAATTACTAAAATCGTCAGTTGTTGATACGTACGAGACAAGATGCAGCTCCGAAGAACTAAAAGGTACTAAACATTTGTCAGAAACATCCACTTCAAATTTTTTTAATACTTTGCTCACTTCTTGCCCTCCTACTTTGATATGTTGTAAAAAGGGAGACAAATATCCATTCTCTTGGCAATTGATATCGACACCAATTTTCAACAAAGCGTACAGACTCAAGGGCAAACGTTTTGAAATGACCTGATTCAACAAATATGCACTTTGAGCATCACATTTCGAGATATTTGATTTCTGCAACCATAGCAGGTATCTTACGATTTCATCATAGAAAGTCGCGTCAGACAACGTGAACAAACCGTCATTTGTAGTGTAAAACCGCTGATTAAAATTAAGTTTCATGATATTAACAAAAGAATTACGTGCAGTCAACAATGCAGTCAACAATGGAGTATTACCGTCTTTGTTCTTAACATTAGTATCAGCACCAAGTCGTACAAGATACTTGACAACATCTTCAAGACCACTACCAGCTGCAATGTGAAGAGGTGTATTTCCGTTTGTGTCTTGTTCATCAAGAAGCAAAAGTTCATTATTTTTTAAACTTGGTATGATATCCAAAGTCTTCTTAAACACAACCATCAACTCTTCTAGTCCAATTCTACTTGATGAATGTAAAATAGGGTATTTAGAAAACGGGGAAGAAGAAAAATCTGAACTGTAGTTTTTATGAGAAGTGCCAAAAAATGATCGCAACAATTCTTCTAAACATCCATGTCGATGTCTCCAATTCGTCTCCAGAGAATAGGATAAAGAATTTAAAAAGATTGAATACTTATTACTCTTCAATTCCGATACAGAAATATCAAGAGCGGTGAGCCCACTTCGTGTTTTTAGCTGCGTGCTAACTCCAATACTTTTAAACCATTTTATAGCATCAAGATTTCCACCTTGGGCAGCTCTGTGTATTGGTAAATATCCTTCGGCATCATAGCATTCATCCAATATGCGAACACCTCTAGGATGACGGGCAATCAATCTTTGTAAGGGGAAACGTTTTTTATGTAAAGAAGGTTGAAACAAATTACCGAATTTATCGGATGTGGAAAAAAAAGACATTCGATGCAGTTCCGATTCAGCAAAGGAAACTTCACATTTTAAAGAAATATCAACTTCAAACATATTCAACACTTTGCTGACTTCCCGACCGCCTGTGTGTAAGTGAAGTGTCATCACGGAACCAGATTCACTAAATAGGCAGTTTGAATTAACTCCAATTTTCAACAAGGCGTACAAGCTCAAGGGCATTCGTTTTACTATGACCTGTTCCAACATGTACTTACTTTCACTATCACATTCTGAAAAACTTGATCTTTGTAACAGGATCAGGTATCTTACAGTTTCATCGTAGCACGTCGTGTTGCAAGAACGAAACTGACCATCGTTTGTAGTGTAGCAGCGATACGAAGCACTGGGATATAGATCACTAACTGGCGAGTTCTGTAGCGCACTCATTAATGGAGTGCTACCATGATGATTCTTTAAAAGCTTGTCCGCGCCAAGTTCAACAAGGTACTTTACAGCATCTTCAAATCCATACGTAGCAGCGTGATGTAAAAGCGTCATTTTATCTTCTATTGAAAACACAAATTTCCGATGTGTCTCAATTAACAACTGAATAATATTCAAGCGCCTTTCCGATTCCTTCTTTATTTTTTCTGCGTCAGATAAACGAATAACGCAGGAATCATGCTTAAATGCGTCTGAACAACGGGAAGAAACTCTCTTCGATCTCTTCTTGTTTAAATAATCGCTACATGGCGACCATTTAACACTTCGCAATAAATGATCCCATACCTTCTCGTCTTTATCATCAAATGGTTCATTTAAAAACAGTTTTGCTACATTAGCCGAACAAAATGTTACTGCTAGTTCGACCGCTACTGATCCAACTAAATATCGTCCTATTTTTTGAAGGGAAATGTTAAGATTTTGCAAAAAATCTTTCTGGTCATGTATGAGAGCAACATGATAGGCATTATATCCTTCGTGGGTTTTTAAATTTGTAATTTCGTCAACTCGTCCACTTGCTAATCTTTCTGCCACCTTCCACAACCCATATTTAGCACTTAGGTGAATAGCTCTGTAACCGCCGTTACAACTGTCAATTTCACAATAACCTGCATACAAACGATCTTGCTCAAACATGGAATATGTAGAGCACATATCACAACTAAAGTATTGTATGCTTCTGCACTCAGTAGTCACATTGGCCCCTAGCCCCAAGAGCATATCCACCATTTCAGTATCATTCCTTTCCACGGCCTTCATCAAAACTGTCTTCCCAGAATAATGCTTACATTCTAGAGATTGTTTTCCGTACGCTAACAAAACCTCTGCGATATCACCCAGTCCTCTGGATACTGCGGCATGAAGAGCAGTTTCACAAAAATACGTGTGGGCCTCCTGTATTGTAGACATTTCACTCGATTGACACGGTAAACAAGTATCACGCAGTTCGACCCTCTGCAATAGAAACGTTACAACAGCCAAATTATTTCTTGCCGCTGCGTGATGAAGTGTGATTAGATCAAACGTTTGAAAGCATGTTTCATAAAACAACTTAACGACTTCTAAATGGCCATTTCCTGCTGCTAAATGAAGTGGTGTTGGATAACTCTTGCTGGTGTTGGGGAAGCTTACATTACTTGTTATCAGA